AGGGGCTTGTTTCCATTCTTGGAGAAGAAGACTTTGAAGAGATAATAATAAGTGTGTGGTGAATGACTGAGGGGGAGAATTTAGATGAGTATGGACAGTTTTCAGATGAAAGTCAGAGAGCTGTAACAATCCTTCTTGTTTTTTCAGTTCCATGTAAATTTTCAGCAGTCGCACATGAAAAGCATTACATGTAAGAGGCACCTGATACACCAAGTCAAGTCTGACTGATTAAATGCTACACATCGCCTGACATTTTGTTAAAAGTTGCACTTAAACACTGCAAAGACTACAGCTGACGGCCCTGTAACAGTATTCTTTGCATTTTGTCATCATGTTTGGCCTTTTGCTTGTGAGAGGAGAAAACAGGCTTTGGTTGGTTTAATGAAACATGAAGGACAGAGGGGTTGGGGAGAGAGCATATTTTAATCATATTGGCAAATTAATTAGCTGGTGTTCAAGCTGTGCTCTAGTCATAAATACCAGTAAAAATAAGGAGTTGGTAATCTGCAATAATAACATCCCACTTTGCCTAAACATTAATGACTGCCCTGTTGACATTGTGGAGGACTTTAAATACTTAGGCACCCTACTTGATAGTAGATTGACTTTTACAGCAAACTCTGACTATATCTGTAAAAAGGCTATGCAACGTATGTATTTGTTGAGGAAGTTGAACAGCTTCTCTGTAAGCGAAAATACCCTAGAGTTGGTCTAGAGAAATCTTGTGGAGAGTGTTCTCACGTACAACATATCAACATGGTATGGTAATCTTGGGATTGTGAATATGGCTGGGAAAATCATACGTAAACCACAGAGACAGAGTGAGATATGTGCTCCACTGCAGGCAGAAAGCACAAAGAATTGTGGGGGATCCTTCACATCCCCTGTTTGCTGAATTTGACAAGATCGCATCAGGAAGGCGTTATAGGGTACCCAGGGCAACAAAAAAGTTATTTAAAAATGATTTTATACCGTGCGCAATTGCTTTGATAAATTCATTAGAGATAACCGGTGGACTTGAAGCTCCTATTGGTTTCTGTGTTGAAATGTATTGGTCGTATGTGTCCTGTGTTATGTGTATTTGATGTTTTTAATGAACCTGGTGAAGCCAAAGGCAAGTTTCTAGAAATGGATAATAAAGATTTATCTTATCTTAGAGTCACTGATTCAAAAAGTCAACAGTCAATCAGATAGCTCGTTTTCACTTACTGCCTTGGTTGACAATTCAACACGCTCAGTCAGCTGGCGATGAGGGCCCACTGGCGCCACTTGTCTTCATTTGAATCCCACAACGAAGCAGAATGCATTATAATGAATCTCTGGAGGACAGGCACACCAGCAACATGGAGACACATGAATGTGACCAAAAAGTTTGATTGCCTGTGAAAAATATCCTCCTGTTCCCTTGTAGGAGAAAAACATGACGATTTGTTACATGATAGCAGAGTTAATGTTATTGCTACCAATATGATGATGGTGATATATAAAGCTATATACAAGGACTGGCCTTGACGTTTGAATTAATCTAGCAGCTATATCCTGTTTAGAAGTCTTGGGTGTCCTGATCCTTGATTTTAAAGCCATAAACCTCAGGTCGGCTTTTGTTTACATCACCAAATTGCGGGCTTGGATGGGAAACGCAAGTTGTATTTTGTTAGGACAGTGTAGCCACATCATTTGTACGTGATGGTTGACATCTACACACCCCCTTGAGAGTGACGTTTCGTTGGTGTTATATCTTGCTTTGTTGTCTGCCCTGTAACGAAGTCAGATGAACTCAGTCTGTTTAAAAAGTCCTTCTGCACCTGGAGAAACTCTATGCCTGAGCACCCACACACACAACCAAACCACACACACATACACACACACACACACGAGATAAGCCTAGTGAGGCCTTTGCAGGCACTCTTCAACTCTGGCCATGTACGGCGTTGTAAACGGCCCAAATTTGGACAAGGATTCCAGCCAGATAGTCGTGTGCCCTGAACGTGAGGCTGCTGTGTGTTCGTGTGCATCTGTTTCCCTTGTCAACGCTTTTGTTGTCATAGCAACCCAGGGGAGAGAGCGAGACAATCCAGGCGCTGTGTTCAATGATGGGGGGTGGAGGGTTTGGGTGGCAAAGTTTGGTTTTGATGTGGTGGTTATTATTGTGGATTTCATGGGGACTGGTAATTTAGTATAATGTCTTTAAATCAGTGAATGTGTGACTCCACTTCATAACTGAGTATTTTGCTTAGCGTGTGGGAGATCCTGAAGACTACTTGCTGTGTTTTCCACTTGAGGACTTAGTGTCTGACCGCTGCTTTGAAGGTCACCTTGTTTGTGTCTTTGATGTGAGGTAGCTTCTTAACCTCAGGGCCTCTGTGTGTCCTAAATGAGAAGTGCACTGTGGGCTCTCCATTGCTGCTTTCCCTCTCTCTTTTTGGATGTTGAGCAGAAATGTGACCTCCTTGACAGCTTGCTCCCTCTCAGGCATGTGGCCAAGTACAGCTGCTGTTGCTCTGGCTTTGTGTGTATGTTATGCTTTTTTCTTTTTTTTACATTAATTATACAAGTTTATCCATCGAACAAGATCTTACAAAATATGTATTCGATTATCTACACCCAAATTTGAGAAGTTCCAACTGTTTGGATGAAGTGGCCTAGTGGTTAGCAGTATTGCCAAACAGTAACATGGTCCTGGGTAGGCATTTCATTGTGTGACACATTTCACAGTGGTGCAAGTTCTTGGCAGAACATTGCCAAAATAGACAAAAAAGGTATTTTGGGGGTCATTGTCTACTTCATTAGATTAGAGATGAGAGACAGAGAGAGTTGATGACATGCGACAAAGGTCCATGGCCGGACTGTGGGGAAGCTACAATTGTATGGGTTGTCTCTTAAAGTGGTCATATTATGCTCATTTTAAGGTTCATAATTTTATTTAGGGCTTGTACCACAATAGGTTTACATGGTTTAATTTTCAAAAAAACACCGTATTTTGTCCGTACGTTAACAGTACCGTGATATGATTTTTTGGCCGTATCGCCCAGCCCTACATGTTATATCAGTTTGCACTGACATAAGATCTGGAGTTGTTCCCCGGGCGCTGCACAGCGGCTGCCCACTGCTCCCTTGAGGTATGGGTTAAATGTAGAGGATGAATTATGCAAAATGTATGTGACAAATAAAAGTACAAAATTGTTTTAAAGTAAAGTAGGGTGCTTTGGTTCAGCTGTACATTTCAGAGTAGTAAGTTAATAATTTGTAACAAACAGGTCTTTCCTACATAAAGTTTTAAATGTGCACTTAATCACGGGAATAATTTATGTCCATTGACTGCCTAACATTTTGTAGGGAGGGTGGGGGTGAGGGGAGGAAGCGATCGGATATCTTGTCACTGTGTGTGCAGCAATTGAATGTTTTTCTCCACCTGTGTTTGCCTGTTTGTGTGTGCCTGAGTAGCTGCTAGGCGAGCATGATGACGTGTGTTACAAAGTGATGCCGATAGTTTACGGACTACAGACTGGACTACAAACATTTTCAGGCAGATCAGGAGCAGTGTTTTCTGTTGGAGAAGGTCCATCCTTTGGGGGGAACTTTGCGCTTTTTCACTTTGCAAACCTATTACATGCACAAAAAAGATAACACAATAAAGGAAAGGGAAAAAGGCCAAAAACATAAAATGACCTAGGCTACCAGATTTTCCCCGAAGACTGACATTGCATTTGTTCAATTTGTTCAACAATTTAATTTATCATACAGAAATTCATAGTTTTTAAACAAAATAAAAACATTAACAAAACATAACCCTCAACGTTTTTATTGCTTACAAAACCTCACGTCTAATAACATAGTCAAGTTCAGGCCTGTAACAAAACCGAAAATAAGCCCACCCTGGTTCAAATTCTACTTCAAAATGTAGGTAAAATAACAGCATCTCCCACTTCATGAGTCAGAAGATCTTAAAATAGATATCGCCCACTTTCAGCTGCTATTTATTTCTGTGGGTATCACTTTTGTTTTCGCTGTCATCTGTCATACATGTTTGGTTTGCTGCGCTGGGGGCTTTCAGAAAAGGGTTAAACAACATTATGGACGATGTGCAGAAAATTTGCCTGGTGCATGCTAAGCACCCATTTTGTTATCTGCCTTGATCTCCCTTGGGACAGTCTGGGTTGTGCCAATGATTATCAAACGTCCATGATATGTTTGTGGGTGGTCTGCTAGTTTGCAACCCAGTGTCTTTAAGAGAAAGCTGAGACGTCTTCTGCCGAAACATTTATCCAAACTGCCAGTACCACCTGCCCTGACAAGCATAGTCTTAAGTTTGAATTTGGGCCAACTATTATATTTAATATTTTAATGTGGCATTTTAATGGCAATTTACTTGTGTTCAGATGTTCGTTTAGGTGCTCCAATTTACAAAGGAAATCCTCCTGTCCAAGAGACTGGGTTTAGATCTGTAACTTGTTCCCAGCAACTGCGATCCCAATGATTACGACAGATTAAATGAAGAGGACAAACTCACACTTGTTTTTGCTCAACCACAGATGTTGATTTAATTGAGTGATTCATCAGCTGCTCTGTGTAAGAGAAGAACGTATGGTGTTTGTGGTTATTTCAGTGGTTTGATTTATCGCACTTTAGAAAATATTCTTCTGATGTGCAATGCTGACGTTTTAAGCAAAAGCAGCTTTTGAAATTGAATTCAAATTAATTCTCTTATTTGCATAAAGTAGCAGCATATAGGCACAGCACGTCAATGCCTTCATCAGCAGTACTACGCTATGTGGTATTTCAAGCAGTCCTGCTATGTGCAGGCATTCTGGGAATGCATGTGGCAGTCTATCAGACACAGTGAAATGCTATTTCCATGCAAGACGTTTGTAACTGTAGCACGGGCCATCCTGCTACTCGCATACATATGCACATGTGCACACATACAGATACACAGGGCAGCTTCCTTGCTTCTTACAATGGCCTTACCCCCCTCCTATCTCTCTCTCCCTCTCTCTCAGGCATGCATAGATGACAATGTTGACATGGTGACTTTCCTGGTGGAGCATGGAGCCAGCATCAACCAGCCTGACAACGAGGGCTGGATCCCCCTCCACGCTGCAGCCTCCTGCGGATACCTAGACATAGCAGAGTAAGTATTGAGAGACCTGTTTACAAGGCGGTTTATTCAGTTTCTAAGAAGCAGTGATATCCGTTTCATCAGATTTGATTTCTGCAAAGTCATCCAAAGATACAAAACATCCTGTTTCGTATCTAACCTATACAAATCTTTTTTGTAACCGTAGCACTTTTCAATCTGTCAGTGTGAAACTATATGAGCAGTAAGGTCAGTAAGGGTTCTGTATAAAGTCCAGTTGATACTCTCACAATTACATTTGGATTGTCAAGCACAAAGTGACATCAGGGCTGAGTTGGTTGGGCTCCAGCTGAGGTCTGCACCGTCCTGTAGGGGACAGGAGTACCCCATTAGTGACCTCTGTCTTTATATTGGTGCTAGCAAGATTGATGTCTACTCACGATGGCCTAGTGTGTGTGTATATATACTTCCATAGCAGCACTCTGAACTGGCTCCACCTTTTTTGTAATGAAATAAACATTGTTTTGGCTCATTTCCTTTTTTAAATTCATTAACTATTCCATCATCAAGACCAGACACACGTTTACTGTAAAAATGCCCAGGGTGCCATTTCAGCAAGTATACTAGAATCAACATGCAAAGAGCCATCATTCTCAGTAGCACATAGTCCTCGTCGTGGCGCACACAATGTTAGTGACGTAATCAAATAAGAAGAGATCATTGTCAGCCACTATATCTGAAATCAGGCTCTAGAGTTGCACTGTAGTATCTTCTTGTCCCTAGTCCTTTTCAGGAAAGACTTCTCATAGGTCACAGAACACAACACAGAGATGTTATCAGATGATATTTAAAACAGGCTGAAGGAGCTCAGTTGTACACATTGTTCAGCATATTGGGAGTGTGCTGTGACCTGCTTTACTTTGTGTTACATTACAGGAACCTGGCTGCAGATTTATCTCTACTAGTGATGTTTTCCCAAAAAGTAATAAGTATAACTGGCTGTAGGAAGATAAACATGTGGCTTATGTACAAATTAGTTTCCAGGCAATTTTCTTCATGGTATTTAGGTTCTAATGTGACAGCCTTTTGAACAGTAATGTGGAGAAATCACATTTTAGTTGCTTCATTAAAAATGTCCACACACTTGTTTTTAGATCTTTTAGTCTTGTTAACTTGTGTTTGTTAACTTCTCAGACCCAGCACGCTTGTGTCCAGTAGGCCTCATGAACACAATATCAGCACAGGGCTAGTATTACTGAAAACAAGAAGTGTTTTGTTGTCACATAGTGTATGAAAAGGTCAAGTAGTTGGCCTGATATGGGTGGGTAATGGAGCTATCATGTCATAGAGAGAAACTCCGCAACCAGATGTGGGTGGTGAGCTGTCAGTAGACCCATTTTAATCCCAGCATCCTCATTCACAGTAACAGGAACTCCAAAGCACTATATCTCTAAGCCCCTGGTGTCACCACAGCTGTCTAATGGTAGGGTTGGTTAAGAATCCCAGGCCACAAAGCCATCAAACCAAGGAAGGCTGACCCAAAATAGGCAGAGTAGAAAGTCCAATCAAGAAGATATAAAACTTTGAAATGTAACTAAAGTCAGACAGTTGCCATTTGGGGGGGGGGTGGGATCATGAGCACTGAGCCTGTTTCAAGTGGTGTGTTGGCCTAATGAGAAGGGCCTGAGTCTCACCGCATCTTTAATTGGAAGCAGCTGAAGTCAAGATGTTGAACTGTTAAAAATGTCTTGAATCTACTGGAGGGAGAAAAAGATATAAAGTGTTAAATATTTCTTTAGGGTGTTTATTCCAGGTCGTTCATGCTTTCACATGTAAAGGGATATGCAGACAAAGACTGTTTAAATTGAATGTTTTGATAGCTTTTAATTAAATCATATATAAAAATAAAGATTTATGCCAATTTTATTGGTTAAATCCTCAATCTGCGAAATTATTTCCTCCAAAAGGGGGGGAAAAAAACTAAACCACTTAATTATCTGTATTACATAAAAGCCACCCCACTTACCACTAATATCTTCAGCATTCCTCACAACTGTCAGGGTTTTATCAGGTGACACATTAATGTTTTGTACTGTAGGCTTGGCCATTAGGAGAAGATTTTTTTTGTCAAGCTCTTATCACAGTGTAAAAACACTGACATTGAGAATCCCTACTGTGTTGTGACAAACTTCTCAGTTTGACTTTCTGTTGAGTGCTCCTTTTGCATAGTAATTACGCTTCACAGATTTGCAACTTTCAGTTACACGTACAACTATTTTAAGCTGCTCGAGTTGTTACTGGAGCCTGAAAACAATATATCTATAATAAGCTAATACTGGGCACATGTTGGTCAACAACTACTAAGAAACTGCAGAACAGAAATGCCCGAGATAATGTCTGAGGGACTTTGGAAACGGTGTCACCATTACATAGTTTGGCACCGGAGAGTACTGAAAAGTTTGTTTTCTAACTCTAAATGTTCTGCTAAATACATATCTTTACAATTCATTAATAACCACTTTTAAGGGATTCTAAGGAAAAGATTTATGCTATAAAACCGGCTAGAGGCCAGTGTTTGGTTTATTGTAAACCTCAAATATCAGTATTGGCTGCAAAAATCCAGCATCAGGCTATAATGACAACACTGTCATGGGATACAGTAGACATATTGCATAAAGTAAACTGCCTCCTCATTTGATAGGGATACTTTTTTTTTTAAACTTAAGTGAGCTCCACTTTGACATCTCATGTCTTGTTTGGAGACCACCTGGCAGATGCTAGAAGTCCTCTACTACTAAGCATTTAATTGGTAGCAATGAATGCTTCGATTGGATCTGTAGTTGCAGTTATGTACTGTAAGATGAACTGGGCGGTAGTTTAGTGTCAAACCCTGGAGAGTAGTAAACAACTAAGCCGTCTGGATTTGTGCCACTCCTTATCCAGATACCTCCTTTTCTTTTATTATTTAGGTGTGTCATGTTCACGTTGTTTGCATAACTTGAGGAAGACCCTCATGTCATATAAACACATTGTGTGACTTAGGCGCCTTGACTTTTCAGCGCTTACTTACTTGAACATATACCATGGTTATTAACCTTTGTCCTGTTGTGTGAGCTGAACACCAGTAAAAGACTTTGCATTATACTCTTGTCTCTATGGACCTTTCCCTCCATTTGGGTATTTCTTTCCCGCTCAGGATTTGTTATGGAAGAACATTCATATTAGCACACGTCTTTTTTTAGCACCAAAGAATAAAAGAGGAACAAGTTTTAAGATTTTGCAACAGATGGGAGGAGTAATTGGTGAATATAACATATATAATTAGGCCTACAGGTGTCTGGAAGATGTGACTGGTAAAACAGGAGATGCAGACTATGGTACAGTGCCGTACGTGCCATTACGCAGCTCCTGTCCTTCAACTGCCTATATATCTCCTTTTGTTTTCGTGCCATCAGAGGCCAGGGTTTAACCTCAAACAAAAATCAGTTGGACTATTTCAAAATATTTGAAAATTTTAAAAGGTTGTTTATATAAATATCATCTTGGTTCAAACCTAAAATTTTTGTGCGTGCTGTTGTTGCAGGTATCTCATCAGCCAGGGTGCCAATGTAGGCGTTGTAAACAGCGAAGGTGAGACACCTCTGGACATTGCTGAAGAGGAGGCAATGGAGGAGCTCCTGCAGAATGAGATCAACAGACAAGGTAATGTATTGTAGACATCTTGAACTCTACAGTGCTGTCCATATTAGACTACTGGGTCATCCTGTCCCAACGCAAAAATGCCACTGTAAAAATGTACTGCTCTGTTAAAGTGTCAAGTGAATTTGAACTGCTGATGTACTGTAACTAATATAGCCTTGGCCAAAAGGTTATGTAATGTTAATGCAAAAAGAAAGAAGTGGAGACAGAACAATGCTGGGGTTTAGTGTTGAAATCAATATTTGGTGTATAATATAACTATGTGCACTCTGTTTTCCCTGGACAGATGTTACAAAGTCAACCTAAAAGCAGACTATAAGATTAAAAGTTATTGAGATCACTTATAAGCATGCAGAACAATAATAAAATGTTGTGAAGAAGTTTCTAGTGTTATCATGTACTCGAGCTTAATCATATCTAGAAACAATCATGACGTGTTAAGCATGTTAATGGCAGCATTGCTAGTAGGGGCCCTAAGTGTATTTCATGCATGTATGAGTATGTTATCAAATAGAATCTCATCAAGTGTCTGTTACCTGCTGTTTTTCACTTGCTTGCTTGAGGGAAAACTTGCATAATATAGAAAAGTGATCCAGCTGTGTTGTGAGCACTCATGTGATGATTCAAAACTGAAAAGTCGAGTCTTTCTATTTCTGGCCAGGGCATTCTTGAGATGATGAAAGGCCCTCCCCTATGGTGAGAGGCCATGCACAGACGTGTTAACTGGCCCCAGGCCAGAGGGGTGCTCCTCAGCTCAAATTCACTAATAAAGGTTGGCTGGCTTTCCCTTCTCTGTGGCACCAGTTGCCATTTTTTAAGCAAGCTTTACATTCTCACATTTTACTACATGTGTTTGCATGCATAGTGAAATCCTGCGTTCATAGCCACGGCCATTTTAGTTTACAGTAAGGTGTGAAATGCAAGTCGTGCGCAGGTTGCCTTGTCAGTACATGCATCTATCAGTAGCCCTATTAGAAATATATATGAAAAGCTTGTGGACAGGGTCAGAAGATGCACAGTCTCCATGTCATATACTGCATACGGTCTCCACTGTCTTGGCTTACACTGCTTTTAAGCATAGTGTGCATTAAATTAATGTGTATATAGTCTAGTATCTCTAGCAAGAAAAAAGGCTGTCTTTAAGCTGTCACTTTCTTGACAGTATTTAAGTCAAGGTCCAAGTGTTTGAAACACATGGCATCCTGTGATAATTACACCCAGAGTGCTGTTTGCATGTCACGCTCCTGGACCGTGTTATATAATGGCGGTGAGACATGCACCCACCCGAACCTCAAGCATCCCTGCCAGCGGCAGATGTCAGCTTTGATTTGCCAATGCCTGATAGATGTGCTGCCTGCTTCTGAGCATTCACACACTGCCTCATCTAAGATCCATCACTAATCTTCATTTACCATGCTCATAACTTCAGAGCCAAACTACTGAATATGTTTTTATTATGTGGACATTATGTATTCAAGGTTGAGCCTTACTTATTTATTCATTAATGCAGACTAGCTTAAAACTGCTTTCAAGAGAAAACTCAGCTGAGAAAAGTGAATTTGCAGTGATCCTGGCCTCAGGGCAGCTGCAGACAATCCACAGCTCAGTTCTCTGTGCTGGCGGCATTATGCAACTAGCTGTTGTGTAATGCTTCTGTATGTTTGTAATGTGATTTTCTCCCCTCAAAGAGATACTAGTCATGGGGTTAAACTTGTTAGCAAGCTGCCATGGTTTCCCCTTGGCAGGGATAACCTCTAGATCTTCTCCTAGACCCTGATTGAGTCAAGTGACTGGACAGCCCTGCCACCCTTCTTCCTTTCTCCGTCAGCTGCCTCATCAGGGCTGCTTCCTGTCCTTGTAACTGAAGGTGGCTGATCTCAGAATTTGTTTTAACTCTCACACACTCCCTGGTGCTGAGAGGACATAGAGGATTGGGCTAGCAGCAGTTTCCTCTCTGCACCTTTCTTTTGACTTTTCTAAAAAGCCAGTAACTATACATGCCTCTGAGGATCCTTGCGTCTGTGCTTGCGTCAGGTTAGATTTCAGTGAATGTTTCATTTTGGCTTTGACACGCTGTTGGTATATTGTCAGTGAGGTGAAGGGGAGGCAAGTCCTTTTTAGGTCTTTAGGATTTTTTTTTATCTTTATCTTTTCAGTGTTCAGGTAGAAGATGTGCTGTTCTCTTATAAAAACTCAACTTTGAACTGTTGCCAACTCTTCCACTGGGCTCTCATTCCGTATTCCTACTTAGAGGCCATTAGGCTCCCTGCTTTTTATAGACACAGTGTAGGCTACTTCCCAAGAGATCACGGGACGTTGCCCTACCTGGCTGCCCTAAGAAAGTGTAGGTTAATTTTCCTCCGTAGGGAATGTGCACTGTGTTTTCTCTTACGTCAAGTTGGGCTGGATTTACATGATAGAAATAGAGTTGCACAGCACTTACCTCGTGATGTTCTTTTAATGCCAAAAAGACCATGCCTTTTGATCACATATTTCAGTCTTAATCCTTTTTATAATGTCTATAGTATGTCATTGTTTAGCTTAAGTTATGCTAAGAGTTAGTTTGTAAAAAGATTACTGGCTTTACTGTCCATCCAACCATAGCAGGACAAAGTGGTCCAGTCCCTGTCCCAAGTTACTTGGTTTGAAATGTATCAAATGAAACTTGAAATGCAGTCAAACATAAACCCAGACACTGAGTCATCTTCGTCCCATTTGGTTTCCCTTTCTTAGACCTCAGTTCACCGATAATCCTCATAATGAGCAACAGGTCGAGTTTTTAAAAGAGGCAGAATATTAGTTTCCTTGCATAATTTAAGCCTGTGGTGCGTGTGATTTCCATTGACATTTAAGGCTTGTAGTCAAAATAAAAGTTATGGAGCAAAAGGCATAAAGCCAGGTGTCTTTGTGACTTTGTTTGGGAATGGAGTGTCCTCTTATTGCTTTACAGATCTGCTTGTGCTTTACCCTGAGGGCTAAACCTCTGGGTAAAGTCAAACTTTCAGACATAGATGTCTTCTTTTATCGGTTTTAAAAACTTGAGGCAATCTTAAAGCATTTTAGGGTGTCATGGCATGAGTGATGATTTATCCTTTGGAATAGAACAAGATCAGCTGAAGTTTTGGGTCCTATACCAGGGCACTTTTTAAATCACTTCTTTATGAAGTTTAACACGGTTAATGCTCAGCTGACGAGTCTACTACTCATGCAGCAGTGCATGTCAGATCGTCTCGTGGTCCAACTAGGTGTCGTCAAGACAATACAGGCCTGTTTTCACTGCTGCATTGTATGCTGCTTATAGCTTAGACGTATTGACCCTCTTAAGATGACTGAGGCCTGTGTGTTTGCAGCCACTATTTCATTGTCAAATTGACAGAATATTGGCACAAAACTGTTTGCTAAAGCAGAACAAGTGCTTTACAATGCCCTCTAGTGTTTAGAGAGGTTGCCAGAATGATGTAATGTCTATTATTCCTCTGTAGAACCTTAAACGCATTGGATGACATTAATAAAAGTACAGGAGTGTGTGGGTTGAATCGTGTGTAACAGACTTGTTGTAGCTATGATTATTGTCACATTTTCATGTCATTAAATATGCAAAGATTTATCTCATGGCTACGGATTGAAATAATGTCTGTTACTGTAATCCATAGTCACAAACTTATGTAACATCAAATACATATGTTTCTCCAGATTTAAGACAAGTAGAACTCATAATAAATACCTCGATGTAATTGTGCTCCGTTGTCATTCCTCCATTCTCTGGGTTCAGTGTTACAGCTGGCAGCAGTAGCAGGTAATCATTCGGTGCCACTCTGACAGCAGCAGTCTCTTCTGTCACTTACCAGGGGTGGATATCGAGGCAGCCCGGAAAGAGGAGGAGCGGGTGATGCTGAGGGACGCCCGGCAGTGGCTCAACAGCGGCCAGATCCAAGATGTCCGGCACGCCAAGTCCGGAGGAACGTCACTTCATGTAGCTGCTGCGAAGGGATACGCAGAGGTTTTAAAGTAAGCAGTGGTTTTGATTTCACAGGTAGTAGAATCATTTATTGCTCGTTGTTACATAAAGCCTTTCCTTTATGTTACGTTGTATAAAAGACTATTAATAGTCAAGACAGTGGTGAGGCCTAGCACCGTGCTTTTTCTTTGCTAATGCCAAACATAACTTGGTCTCTGTATCTTGTCAGTGCGTTATCCGACCCTGCATCTGTAGGCTGTTAATACGGCTACACAGCTCGAGGAAAGGAACTGCAGCCGCCTGTCCATCTGGTCTGGGAATTCAGCCAGCGTACTCTACTGCCATAGATAGTGCTAAGATCTCTGATTTTTAGCGCAACAAACATATACAAGCCAGGAATCTAAATGTTTTCCTCATCATGGCAGAATTATGGGTGAAAATATTAGAGTTTAGCTGACGTCACCCTGCTCTTGCTCAGTGACAACAACTTTCAGAATACGTGTCCGTGTGTTTAGGGGGTGGACTATGCATCACAGATATCTGACCTGGGGTTATAATGCTGACGCACTTCTCAAAGCCTGGACACTGGCAGCACCTTGAAAGATTAGTTTACAGAATCGAATCTGAGAAAAAAAGATTTGCTAATTCTAAGTCTCTCCTCCCTTTCCAACTCCCCACTCTTTCCATGTGCAGGCTTTTAATCCAAGCAGGGTATGATGTAAATATTAAGGACTATGATGGCTGGACTCCTCTACATGCAGCAGCACACTGGGGCAAAGAGGAGGCATGTAGGATACTGGTGGAGAATCTATGTGACATGGACCTCATTAATAAAATGGTGAGTAACAAGTACTGTCGTAGAGTCCTGTCATTAAATTCTGTGCAATCCATATTTTAGAACTTTTTATTTTATTGCTTTCCCTCAGGGCCAGACAGCTTTGGATGTAGCCGACGAAGATGTTCTGGGATACTTAGAAGAACTACAAAAGAAACAAAAGCTGGTAAGTTGATGTGACCCATATCTACACCAAACAACTTATTCAGCTGTTTTAATGGTGGATACATTTGAAGGTGTTTTGTAAAAAATTTTATATATATAAAATTAGTGGAAGCCTGTGATTGAGTGGGAATGTGTGAATCATCTTCAATAACATTCATTGTGTCTTTCCCCTTTATTGCAGCTGATGAGTGTGGAGAAAGACGTTAAGAAATCTCCTTTGATTGAAACAACAACCACCGGGGATAACAACCAGTCACTGAAACCACTCAATAGGTAAATACCTTGAAAAAATAATCAACAGAAACTGCCTACTGAATGTGTGAGCGTTATTAAGCCACCTATAGCTCAGACATAACTAATTAAACTTCTGTAGGTTTAAAATATTTTATTTTGTATCTTTGGCTTGTATTCTCTCTTGTAGCTCAAAATGCTGTACTACACTGATGCTGTAGTTCTCTACTAATGGTGTCAAATGTGTGTTTTGCAGCAAAGAAACACTGCTTCTGGAGCCAGAAAAGAGCGCCCCACGCATAGACACCTTAGAACCGGAGAAGGTGGATGAAGAAGAGGATGGGAAGAAGGACGAATCAAGCTGCTCCAGTGAGGAAGAGGATGATGAAGATTCGGAGTCGGAGACTGAAGCAGGTACTGTGTGTGTGACTTATTTTAGACTTGTTGTGGTATCACTAAATCAGGTCAAAACAAAAGAATTTCGGTTAAATGTCTCGCATACAAATTTGATTCTGCCTACTCTTTTTCTTGTGGTCAAACGTCACCATCTAAATTTGTTTTCCATACTGCAGTTATGTTCTGACTTTTTAAAACACATTTTCCAGAATTGTTTTTTATTATTAATTGTTAATTGACGCAAACAACTAATACTTTTTCTTTTTGACCCTGCCAGACAAGAGCAAGCCTTCAGCATCAGTGAGCAACAACACAGCGCCCACCCCGACCACAGTCACCGTGTCATCTCCAACTAGCCCAACCAACCAGGTGACGACCCCCACTTCACCGGTAAAGAAGGTACGACCTGGTGGACAAGTGGTATTTATTATCCTGCCGTGTGCAGACAGCTGCCATGTTACTGGCAAAAAAAAAAAAAATCAAATAGGACACGTTTCACTCAAATTAGGAAGCAGTTGATGGGTTTTAGAAAAGGCCTTTGAGGAAATTAAATGCAGCATTGCCATGATGCAATCATGTCCCTATTCTACCCTCTAGTCACTTCAGGTAGTAACTACACCTCCTCTGTTGCACTAAGCCAGTGCAACTTTGCTTTACTGAGAGATGTTGGTGCCTCATTATGTACACAAATCTGTAAAATTATCTATTTGGGTTTTCCTCCCCCTTGAACACAAACCTAATTTCACAGCCGGCTGACGATACTGGGGGATTACATAAATGATTTTGCAGTTCATACTCCAGGCCATCACAGAAATAGTTGTTCCTGGTTGTGATTTGTTCTTCGCGTCGCAGCACAATGAGCAGACGAAGCGAACACGTCACACAGGCCGTGAGAATGACAGTTACGAGCAATTTTTGGTGGAGTTTAACAAACATGGCAACAGGCTGTACAGTGGGGATGATTGGTGGCCAATTCTGGATAATGTTAACGGTTTACTATATGCCTGTTGGATACCAGGAGCCTGGAATTTATAGAGCACTGGATTGGGTTGGTTGTTAAGAATAAAACTAGAAAGTGTTCCATGGTAGTGTTTTCCCACTTTTGAGTCTGCTGCCCTCTGCTGGCAAATTGAGGCCAAGCATTTAACCATAGTGAACCTGGTCAACCTTTCCAAGGGCACGTCTGCTTCCTTCAGGCCACTGGTTCAAACAAATACTTAATGTGGCATCATTTTTAACTGTTAGAAAGGTACTTTGAGTTTTTTTGTGTGGCATTCAGAAAAGCTGTGATACTCATTTCCAAGTCTGTGATATCAGATACCACCTACAGAATGCATCATCATTTCACACTCAAGAATGCAGCCTAAATTAGAGGGTACATTTTACAGTGTCCTCTCTCTTTCTGAATTTGCACCCTTTAGTCTATGGCCTGTAATCAGTGGCCACATATCTTTTACACTTTCTAAATGTTGCTTCTTTTGTTGCATTGTTATTGTTGTTCCAATCTTTCTTTGAAGCCTAGTGCTCACACATCACAGTGTCTTCTGTCTAACAAGAGTGAGCAAAACATTAACAATGTCCGGTTTTGACACTACCAAATGTTTGTGGGATCTGACACTCCAATTTGAACATTAATAAATAATAACAATAATTAAACCGGTTTGGCAGTAGGCATTGTGTGGTGTGACTAGGCCTTAAAAAAATCTGTCCTACCATAAAGTGTTTCTTTTGCTGCTGCTTCTGTCTTATTCTGGCCTTTTCTCTGTCTCAACCTCTCTGTCCTCCTCCATGCCCTCCCTCCCCCCGTGTCTTTCTCATCCTGGGCTCTTGACTTGGTTGGCTTTAGTTTGATTGTATTACTCCCCTCATGCCTGTGGCGGAGCCAGGCTGTCCTGCATTGTGGCGTCAAGGCTTGCGCAAAACAGGCATTTCTCTAGTGCCAAAAAAACCTATGGTGAGGCATTGGTGTGCACCAGAGTTGTTCTCTCATCCTACATGCACCTGTGCACTGACAAAGTACTTAACACCCCCTTAACCACCCTGACCCAATCCAAGTGATGCTGATTGAACCTACTGCTGACTTTCACTCATCAACCCTACATTGTGTTGTTTTCACTTGTAATCAACAAATGAACTGTACTGATGGTGCTTTCACCCCGTGTCTGTGTTGCTTCTGTGTTTTGTTTAGTTGCTTGTCTTTTGAGAGTTTGTTTTAAAAATGTATATGTGGCCAGACCTGAAAACTATCAGACCCTAAAATCCCAACTATTTTAATTACTCTTTTACCACCTATTGTACAAGAGCATAGCATAATTATCGTGTTTTAAGAATAGCATTTACTCTGGGATAACTTTTAGAGTCTGGTAGTGGTAGTAGTGGATGTGATCAAACACATTAACAAGCATGTCCTTCAGAAATGTCCTCTTAATGGTCGACTTAATAGATTACATCAATACGTCGACTAACGTAATGCAAGTCGACGTATTTACGTAATCTACTACGCATCGCTGCGTCCGGTGTTAATGGGATTCTGGGACAAGCTCCAGCTACATGACGTCGCCTTCGACCGTCTAAAGTTCGGGAGTATTTTAGACGGACACTCAACAACGTGGTGCTCTATGAGCTCTGTGAACTGGAAGTAGCTTCATGAACACATGAAAAAGTACACGTGCGAAAGTATCCCGGAGCACTGACGGCACCACCGCAAATCTTGTTTACTTTCTGTCTCCACACAAGCACGGCACAGTATCAGCAAGAGGACACATAGCCCGTTAAAATGTATTTTAAGTGTTTTTTCATCGCCTTCATGTTAAAAGTAATTTCTGCACTGCTGCTGTCATGGTAACGTAAGGTTACACCGTGTGTCATCTAACGTTCAGCCGTTTCATATTTTCGGTTTATTTAATGGTCACATACGAGCGAGAAAATGGCTGAAATTAACATTACAGACAATCTGTGAGTGTCTGTAGTCTGTAATCCTTTCAGTTGTTTTCTTTGTCCCACACTGATGCAGAAATACATTTGGTTATACGTATACTGCATTACTCAACATTGTAATAAATCCATATCAGAAACATTTAAAGTTTTAAGTAAAGTAGCCTAATTAATGTCTGTTGTTGTTATTATCACAACACATCAGTGACAAGGAAATTTCATTCATTTTAAGATATGCTACTATTGTCGTCATTCTTATGTGCTTCATCAGGATAGTTGAATAAAATACTGATTTATTGATTAGACATGTTTTTGATATTTATTTAAATTGGTATATTAGTCGTGTAATAAGCAACTTTTTTTTCCTTTAGAATACACACTTAGTCGTTACATTAATCGACTAATTGAAAAAATAACGTTAGATTAATCGACTTGAAAAATAATCGTTATGTACAGCCCTAATTTAAACATAAAAATTGCAGCGTATTGAGATTAATCCAAAATGTTTGACCTGATTGACTTGTGTGTTGATGACTAAAAATCTAATTTACCGTCTGTGTATTTATAAATGGTTAACTTTGTACTCTAAACCGCTCCCCCTTCCTCCCTTTCAGGTCCCTCAGCCTGCTGGAAAGGCCTCAACTAAAGTGGAGGATGATAGGAAGGACGAATCGCCAGCATCGTGGCGGCTGGGTTTGAGGAAGACGGGCAGCTATGGGGCTCTGGCAGAGATCACAGCTACCAAGGAGGCTCAGAAGGAGAAAGACACAACTGGGGTGATGCGCTCAGCCTCGAGCCCTCGCCTGTCGTCCTCCCTGGACAATAAAGATAAAGAGGTCAACAGTCACATGGTCACATCCTTTATTTTTTCAGTCTCTTAGACCATTGGGACAATAGGATGTCCCGAGTGATTTTCCAGCTGGCTACATTATAAATGTATGAATGAATTTGAAAAGGAAGAAATCGTTTATATTTAGGCTTGATGCGGCCATGACCTGCTTTTTGTAAGAGCTCAATTAGGCCTGAAAAGGCACCCTAGATGGTTTTTAATAGTAAATAAAGTTTGTAGGGATATTTGACAGCTGTTCCATGGATGGTCACTAATATGGGTCCTATTTATTCCTCTGTCTCCAGGAAAAAGATAAAGGGACCCGGCTTGCCTATGTGGCCCCTACCATCCCCAGGAGACTGGCCAGTACTTCAGACATTGATGAGAAGGAAAACAGGTGAAGCCTTTGAGCCAAGTAGCTCTGTGCAAACATGCATTGGCATGAGCGGCTCCTGCTGCCCACTGATGTGTGTTGCAGGCAAAAGACCTCAATGCTCTGCATGGTGTGTGTGGCCATAAGGAACTGCCTTAATTAGTTTGTTGTGTCGTGCAGCAATGGATTTGGTAGACTTGAAAATCACTAGGAAAATGGTGGATTTCAAAGTGGGTAGAGTTAGGTTTAATGAAAGACTACTACTTTTATCAGCACATATCTAGTCTCTGTCAGTATCTGTTAATGAAAGCCTGGGGTACAATTGTAGCATTTGGTTCCCCAGGGACTCTACTTCTCTGATACGTAGTGGCTCATACACTCGGCGACGCTGGGATGACGACCTGAAGAACAGCGAAGGAAGCGCCTCCACCAACCGAACCCCCAGCTATCAGCGCAGGTTAGCGTCTGCTGCGAAATAAATCTCTGCCAAACTTGTCATCTCATCATCAGATTTCTGTTCCATCTGATGTGTGTATATATGTATGTATATATAATATTTTATGAGGTTGAGCTGGCATAGCTGTGGAACTACTACAAGTGTGTAGACAGCATCGAGAGTTGTTTATCAATCATCTGTACATTTTGCTTTGATTATGTCATCAAAAGCTTCCACGCACAGCAGCAGCTACTGAGAAAGCCATGCCGAGCAGCCCAAATGCCTTTCTCTATCACTGCCACAGAGTCTGTTGCATGACTGTACCTGTCCTGTCAGGTTGTTGTGCCACTGAGTTTGCAATGCATTACTTTTAAAAAGCCTGTCTGTCCCAGAGATAAATCATATTCCCAGGTTTGATCGTGGCACAAAACCTAGACATGGATTTATGCTGCATGCATGTCATATGGGGAAAATACTGGATACCAGTCTCCTTTTAATACACTACTATTTTAAGTTGTGAAAGCTACGGAATTTGAAATAAATCTTTTCAAAGATCAAAGTATCTTTTAATTAATGAATGTATGCTGACTGAACAAGGTAATTGCAATCAACAGAAATCTAGAAAAACCTTCATTGAAGGTATCTCCAAACACTATTTAACTGTTGATTTTAATTGTCCTGTCAGCAGTTAGTCCCATATGACATGAATGCACCAATAGTGTGAAAAGCTTAATAGTCTTATATATCTGTGTTTCTTATACTGTATCTGTGTGTGTGCGCCTCCACCGCTAACATGCCTCTCTTGCCCACCCGCCTGCCAACACGCCAGCACGTCCCATACGCTAGCACTAGGGCGGAGCGGCAGCATGCGGGACGTGCCAGCCAAGTCTTCGTCCACCTCCAGCTTGGACCCTAACAACAGTAATACTAAACCCTGGCAGCCACCCTCCTCCCACTACCAGTCTTACAGCATTTACCGCAGGTACACCAGCCTCAACAGGGGCTCCACCGTCTCTCCACCCACCTGTCCTCTCTGACCGTGTGTCTCTACTCTGGTGAAGTGCCTACCTTGTGTTTTGTGTTCCTCTGGTTGCCTATAATGTCCAAATGAATTTTGGAAGAGAGAGTTGTTTTACCATCCAGAACTAGCCACAGTATATAGCCTGGTTTCTCGCTTTGTCCAAAGTGATGAATGAAGAATGAAGTAACCCTATTAATGAAGTTAAGACTGAAATGTTTTCCAGTAAAAGCAGAAACAGATTTTTCTTTTGATTGACAACAGAGATTGGAAAAACTTGAATGCTGTTGACATTGAATATTACTGTGACCCTGCAGTACTATTAATAAAAGTATGCTCAGCTTAATTTTCACTGAACTGTAATATTTAAACTCCAAAACCTGTCTGGAATAACTATAGAATTTGATCCATTCAGTCGTCTCACAAAGACAATTAGTTAGTTTTTGCATATTAGTTAAAGTTGCTCTGAAAAAGTTTGACAACTTTTCCCCAAAATAAGGTTTAAAAAGCATTTTTCCCAACCAATTATACTTCTGCTACTCATGCGTCACTACTACCACGCATGTGCAGTAGAAGTAAAACAGACCCTTACATCAGTGGAACCAAACTATTGACTGAAATATATTTTCCACTTTGGCTGTTAAAAGCAGATGATTGGCTTTCTAGCGGGAGGGGCGGGATAACCGTCATCTTTGCCCTTACGGGCTTTCCCCATAGAGTTATACTGAGGATGTAATTGAGTGGCGTGTCTCCTCTAAAATGTCGCTGGCTTCATTTACCTTTGTTTACACGCAGAGCCATCATTACTAACAGCAGAAACCCAAGCATTCAGACTGACTGTCAAACAATGATGTTTTAAACCTATAACTAATCACGCAATATAGGCTGTAGAACTATGAAGGGAAAGGATAGCTGTCTCCCAATGTTTAATTCTTAAAAGCATCAGTGTAAACAGGACATTCTTTTCATAGAGAATACGCAAGAGAGAATTTTCCCCTCTTTTATCACAAAAACTGAGCTTTAGTGACCCACTCCTGTTTTATATTTTCCCCTGATATCCTGCATTCACAATGCTGATGAGGCAAAAATATATTATTAATAATCAGATCATCTAACTTAATTATCAACATTATACCTGTGAAAACAAAGCTGTATTTGTGTCCTGCTCTGTCTTACTGGTGTCTGTTGTGTTTGTCTGACATTTTGTCTTCCAGCGGCTCTTTCGGCAGAAGACAAGAGGACTTGAGTTCTTCAACCACCTCCCCCACGACCACCACCACCACCTCCTCATCTGTTACCTCGCCTACAGGCCATCGGGGCCTGCTCTCCAGCCTGGGCTCCTCCTCCACCCGCACTGGCTCCACCAGTCTCACCAGCAGGTACACGAGGAGGACTGCTGTCAGCGGGTGAAAAAAAAGCATAACGATAAACCTTATTGTATACAGGTGCTGGTCATATAATTAGAATATCATCAAAAAGTTGATTTATTCCAGTAATCCCATTCAAAAAGTGAAACTTGGATATTATATTCATTCATTCCACACAGACTGATATATTTCAAATGTTTCGTTTCATTAAATTGTGATGATTAAAACTGACAACTAATGAAAATCCCAAATTCAGTATCTCTGAAAATTAGAATATTACTTAAGAGCAATAAAAAATAAAAAATAAAAAAAAAGGATTTTTAGAAATGTTGGCCAACTGAAAAGTATGAACATGAAAAGTATGAGCATGTACAGCACTCAATACTTAGTTGGGGCTCCTTTTGCCTGAATTACTGCAGCAATGCGGCGTGGCATGGAGTCGATCAGTCTGTGGCACTGCTCAGGTGTTATGAGAGCCCAGGTTGCTCTGATAGTGCCCTTCAGCTCTTCTGCATTGTTGGGTCTGGCGTATCGCATCTTCCTCTTCACAATACCCCATAGATTTTCTATAGGGTTAAGGTCAGGCGAGTTTGCTGGCAATTAAGAACAGGGATACCATGGTCCTTAAACCAGGTACTGGTAGCTTTGGCACTGTGTGCAGGTGCCAAGTCCTGTTGGAAAATGAAATCTGCATCTCCATAAAGTTGGTCAGCAGCAGGAAGCATGAAGTGCTCTAAAACTTCCTGGTAGACGGCTGCGTTGACCTTGGACCTCAGAAAACACAGTGGACCAACACCAGCAGATGACATGGCACCCAAACCATCACTGACTGTGGAAACTTTACACTGGACTTCAAGCAACGTGGATTCTGTGCCTCTCCTCTCTTCCTCCAGACTCTGGGACCTTGATTTCCAAAGGAAATGCAAAATTTACTTTCATCAGAGAACATAATTTTGGACCACTCAGCAGCAGTCCAGTCCTTTTTGTCTTTAGCCCAGGCGAGACGCTTCTGACGCTGAAACCCATGACTTGCATACGTTTGTGCGTGGTGGTTCTTGAAGCACTGACTCCAACTGCAGTCCACTCTTTGTGAATCTCCCCCATATTTTTTAATGGGTTTTGTTTCACAATCCTCTCCAGGGTGCAGTTATCCCTATTGCTTGTAGACTTTTTTTCTACCACATCTTTTCCTTCCCTTCGCCTCTCTATTAATGTGCTTGGACACAGAGCTCTGTGAACAGCCAGCCTCTTTAGCAATGACCTTTTGTGTCTTGCCCTCCTTGTGCAAGGTGTCAATGGTCGTCTTTTGGACAGCTGTCAAGTCAGCAGTCTTCCCCATGAATGTGTAGCCTACAGAACTAGACTGAGAGACCATTTAAAGGCCTTTGCAGGTGTTTTGAGTTAGTTAGCTGATTAGAGTGTGGCACCAGGTGTCTTCAATATTGAACCTTTTCACAATATTCTAATTTTCTGAGATACTGATTTTGGGGTTTTCATTATGTCAGTTATAATCATTAAAAGGAATGAACACTTGAAATATATCTGTCTGTGTGGAATGAATGTATACATTATACAAGTTTCACTTTTTGAATGGAATTACTGAAATAAATCAACTTTTTGATGATATTCTAATTATATGACCAGCACCTTTACAGTGTCTGACCTCCAAAATGGCTGCCACCAGACTTCACATTTCAGTTTTATAATCAAAGCAGTTGAAATGCAGAATCTTTCAGGTTTAGCAGGTTTATTTATAAAATGCTATAAACAGGTACTGGTCAGAGGAGAGTGCAGAGAAGGAGAAGGAGTCTGCTGCGGTCATCCCCACTATAAACACTGGCTCTACTACGACCACCGCATCTACCACTACCGCCATATCTACCACTGGCACCGGCACCGGCTCTGAAAGACGCAGGTAACAAACACACAAGCACCTTTTCCCTACATACTTCATCCATATTTATCCTGTAATTAGGGCTGGGCAATAAAACAAAAATGATAATCATCGCAATATGATTTTCCTCTAACAATATAACAAATGTTCAATATATTGTCAATAAATGTTTGATGTGATTAATTTGAATTAAAAATGAAATAGCACTTAATTTTTTGATTTAAAATATTTATTTTGTTGAGGAAAAGAGACTCATTATTGTTTTGAATGTTCTCACTCAGATTTGTGAAGTGATCCACTGTTTAACGTCAATCTAGTTTCTTCAACTTTCACTCAGGAGCAAAAATCAGCCTTTAAAATTTAATGATGATGACATTTATCATGATGATTATTGATATTTAAATGATATGACATTTTTATATTGTGATAACAGTTTTGGCCTTATCGCCCAGCCCTACCTGTAATATGGGAAAATATGTCCATTTATTTCTTGTCTCACATTGTGAATTATTTTTATCCCTTAACATAAGAAAACATGCACGCATTTCTTAGTCTGTGCAGATAATCTAAATATGTAATAATAAATTTACAGTGTAGCATTAAGATGGGATAATCTCATCTTGATGATTGGTGTTTTTTGTGATGCATTTTGTTTGATTACATTTCAGTCTGAGATGTTAATTGCTGTTTGGGTTTAGAGGAGACTTTCAGCGTCCCATGGCATTAGGTTTTTTGTTTGTCTTGACTAAAGTTAAAATTGCTGGGGAAAGAATTCGATACTTAAAATTTTGCTTTACTTAATGAATTTATTTATTTATTATATTTGTTCATGACATTCTCAATTTTGAATGGCTTGGATATTTTAACGAAACATTTACTCTAAACAGCTTCATGAAATATTGCCATGAACCTTAAAGGCTTCCATCAGTCAAACAGTAATGCGGATGTATTTCCTCTGTTTGAGAACGGGGTGTGTGCGATCTTCAACTCTGTACACAGTGTGGTGGGGGAGAGAGAGTTTGCCTGTGTCCATCTGTGAGAGAGAGGGTTCATATGAGAGTGTGTCACAAAGCATGTGTTTGCACGTGTGTTTGAGTGGGGTCGAGACCATATCTTCCTGTTTCACTGCTGAAATAAGCCACCTGTCGTGGTAGGAGTGGGGAAGTGCTGTTTCATAGCATGGACCGCTCCTGTGACTTTTCCTTATAAGGAATGTAGGCAGAAGCTGCACATTTTCCTCAAGGCCAAGGCTCCACTCTGAACTGAATTCATACTTCTGTGTGGCCAACAGAGGCATGCTACACACTGAGAGAAAGAACTAGAATAGCTCACTATTTTAATTTGCAAAGTCTGTTGTCTTTTGAGTGTGGTACTGCTATAGAAAAAGTTAAAACACATATTTTAATCCTATTTTACCACAGTAACTTAAAGTAGGTGTATATTTTCAGCTTCATCTTAGGAAACTCGAACATTTTTCCAGGAATATCCTGCTTTACATACATCTTCATTAAAGGAAATCTTCTTTACCAACATATCTTGACATAGGTAGCTTTCATACTATTCCACATATGTACACCTGGAGCTGTGATGGTACTGTACATTTAATATCCTCACTCTGCAGTATTTATTGTGAGAGGAAAGCATGATTTGGTCACTTTTCCAGCTAGTTAGTAAATTAGAGCAGCCATCCTTCTCATCGCCAGCCACCATACTGCCCAACACAATGACAATTACCACAACTATTTATGTAAGGAATGTCAACTGAAAAACGTGTCTTTACAAGTTCCACCATCCCAATAGTCATCTAATGCTAGAGCTTATTTTTGCTGTTGCTAAATAATTAACGGTATGAGTGTGTCTTTGTGCATGTCAGGTCATACCTGACGCCAGTGCGAGACGAGGAGTCAGAGTCCCAGAGGAAAGCTCGCTCCAGACAGGCTCGACAGTCAAGGAGGTCCACCCAGGTTAGTTAACCTGTATCACCTCTGATATGTTGACACTTACTTTATCCCCCCATCCTACCAAAAAAGTAACTGGTAAAACAATAATGTAGTCCCACATCAAAACAGAAGGTGACCTGTAGGTGCCCCTGGTTTGGATTACGATTTTATAGCCATAGTTTTTTAAATGTTTTTTTCCTGGTTGAGACAGACGGATGTTTTGTGTGCATAGGTAGGACTTAACATCTAGGCCTGTCATTTTACATGAAGCAAAAATGCTGTTTGAGTAACTGGGAACTATTCGACCAAGACATGAAAATTTTACATTATAAGATTCAACAGCTTTTTTTTTTTTAACTGTAAGCTAGATCTAATTTAATTAATGAGATTCTGGTTAGAAATGTTAAAATGTTATATAATCTCCTAGCAAGGAATTCAAATTCTAGGGATGATATATTACTCTCTGCTTCCAGGGTGTGACTCTGACTGACCTGCAAGAGGCTGAGAAAACGATCGGAAGGAGTCGTACCCCAAAGACCTGGGAGGAAGAGAAGGAGGAGAAAGAGAAGCAGGACAAGGAGAAGCAACAGGAGGAAAAGAAGGAGATGGAGACTAAGGAAGACGATTACCGGTCGAAGTATCGCAGCTTCGAAGAGGTAAATTTTATATCCAAGCTTTTACAATAACTTTCCCAAGACAGGTGATTGCATCTTTACTTGTAATCTTTACTTTGAATATTTAACTATCACTCTCCCTACCAGCGCTACCGGCCTTCATCTTCCTCCTCCGCCATTTCTACAGTCAGCACAGCCTCCACCCCGTCCTACTCTAGCACCACATTTTCCTCCAGTTCCAGCTCCCTCAACAGGCCCAACAGTCTGACGGGGATCACCTCCTCCTATAGCCGTTCCTCCAGGGATACGGAAAAAGGTCAGTGCCTTGTGCCGTTCCCATCCACTAAAGATTTTCATCTAAAATCTTGCCTGAAAATCTTTGCTTTTAGTCAGTCAGTCTATGGCAGTTGCAGTGGTGATAGCAGCATTAAAATAAAATAAATAAATAATAAAATATAAATAAATATAAATAATAAAATATTTCATATACCAATCAATTTTAGATTGACTACATAGACGATATTGTTAAATCTGAGCCCGTCTTGATGCTCTTTTTTTGTGTGCACTAGAGTAGGTGTGCTAAAGCTGCCAAAAAGCCAACAATGGGTAGCTTAACTATCATGAAATTGAAATAGCTTAAGCTGTCCTCTCTGATATAAAGCCAAATACAAAAGGGCACAGCATGTGGATGCATGTTGGTATCGGTCTTCACAGGTCCACATTCACATGGGCAAACTGCCACATGCTGATTAGGGGCATTGACACAGAAAGGGATTGGGTTGCGTTTTAAATTAAGTAGCTCTTCTCTTAACGAATAAATCCACAAAGCATGTCTGGGAAAATGGAAGGCAGCTTTATTCTGTTCAACTGAAGGAAGGAAACAGTGACCGCTTTGTTCTCCCACAACCAAAACCCTTCTTTCTTTTTTTTCTCTCTCTGAACTTGAGCCAAGTCAAGTTGTTGTCCTGATTGTGCCTTGTGAAGTCAATTCAGTGCCTTGTTTAACCAGATTTATTCAGATTTAACAGGTTAAATCTTCTTTTCTTTTCTTTTTTTCACTTTGAATTCTTGTTAAGGACTACTGTATGGGCATTTGCACACTGTTGGTGTCAAAATCATAAGGGTCAAGCTGTGCTCTGGAGAAATACTGACCAGATGTCAAAAGCAGATGATTTACAGACATACAAAAGGAACAGTTATGATAATTATCTTGATATCATGGCAGCAATATGTGGTTAACCTTTTGTTGTTCTCCTTGATGGACAGAAATGGACAAAAAGGAGGAGGAGAAGGAGGGAGAGGACAAGTCTCAGCCCCGCTCCATACGGGATCGCAGGCGGCCCCGCGAGAAGAGACGCTCCACTGGGGTCTCCTTCTGGACCCAAGATGTGAGACTTTCAGAGACCACTTCTTTCACAGTCATAAATATTCATAGTACTCTTCATGAGGGACAGGAGTTTGTAACACTTGCACAACTGTGAGTGTTCCTCTTTGATCATAGAGAGAGCCGTGAGTCGTGTATAACCCACCTATCTGCGTTTTTTTTATTTCAGGGTGATGAAAATGACCCTGACCAGCTGTCCGACTCGGAGGAGGGCAGCACCAAAGGAGAGCCACAGGTAATTCAACACACACACCACAGACGCACACACAGGGCAGACAGTAGATAAAACTGACTTTTAAGAAGGGCCCTCTAGCCTGACAGCCAAAACCAAGCTATTCCTCTTGCTTTTCTTGTGTGGCGGGACATCTGTGTGATTCTTGCCCTTCTGCGTTCATTCTCTATTCTGGTCCTTCCTCACGTCTCATCTCACGTAGCGAAGGCCAAGCAAGCCAGTAGTCTTTGATATCCACTGCTCTGCCCCGTACAGCTATCATTTCCTCCCCTCCCACTTATCTATCTTCCTCACTGCCTGCAGCCTTTGAATTTTTATTGTTCCTCCCTCACATTTCCATCTTCTGGTGATTGTCTGGTTGCTAGTCTCACCCATAGATCAGTAGGTTTTAAAAACACGCAGACAAACGTACAAAGGAAAGGAAGTCTGGGTCACTGGGGTCAAAGCGCACACATGAATGAGATGGCGGAGAGTTTTTCCAATTTGGAGATGAGATTTAAAACAAAAAATGAGAACCTTTCAAATCGAATTAAACTCATACTATTCATTGGTACCATGGCTTAGGGCAGAAAGGACAGTGTTGCGGAAACATTTCTGGCTGGATGAACTTCCTGTTTGAATGGGTGTGTCTTTTGCAGCATAACGTAGAGAACAGACAGTAGTCGTTAACTTGAGCACAATCAGCAGGGAGATGAGAAAGGAATACACAGCTTCCAGCCGTCACTTACAGTAGGACAGTATAAAGGGTGGGTGGAGCAGCAACAGAGCACTAAATAGGAAACAAGCAATTATCTCTGCTTTGCGATGGAAACACAGGAAAAAGTTTTGAGTCTCTTCCTTTCCACCCTGGCATGCTCAATTAAAAGCACCAAAATGATACTCAAAACCAAATTTGATTGGTAGAGTATGTTTTTTTGTTTGTTTGTTTTTTTTTTTTTTTTTTAGCAGACTCTTAAATACTTTACATTGGAATATCGTTGTTAGGTGAAATCATCAAGACTCAAGTTGTGAAACTCCAAACACACAACCATGCTTTTATTATTCAGTCATGACGTGTCTGATTTGTAATCCATCCAGTCGTGCATTGAATGGTGTTGATCGTTTTCCTTGAAGTCTTCAGAACTTTTTCCCTCAGACTGTAGCATTGTTGTGTCTCCGCCCTCCATCCGCCTCAGGAAGCTGACTGCATTTTTAAAATAGCTGAGAGGCCGACCCTCCAAGCCTGACCTCCTATCTGATGTCTGGCCCCATTCTCAGGGCCTCTGCACAAGCACAGCAGGCCCAGAGACACAGTAGGGCCTTGAGGCACTGGCTGACATGGCAGCTGTTTAGGAATTAGTGTATATGTATGTAGTGCAGTGTTTGTGTGTAGGAGGCTGATTGCAAAGCAGGGAAGGTCAGGTGCGGGTGCATAGAGAGAGGGAGGCTGTAGAATCTGAAAGTGGAAGTTCTGTTTAAAATGAACAGCATGTCCCATCTCTTCCATTCACTCAGTTTTGTTTTGTATATGTAAGCTTATTACAAATGCACTTCACACTTTTCACTTTTCCTGAATATGCATGAGCGTAAGAGAATGAGACTGGCTGGCTGCTTTCACTTTCATTCAGTGCATTTCTCTTTGACATTAACATATAGTTTCATTTTTGCTTTCCTACAGAGCGACAGATTATCCAGGTATGTTTTACCCCTTCATATTGTGTTCTTTATCCTTTTTATATGTTATCTTTTATCTGTGTTGCCAAATAATCAGATTTTAACTGGACGCCTGTTATTACTGTTGTAGGAATGAGAGCACTTCATCCTTAGATCGCAATGACACTCTTTTTAGCCGTGGCTATGGTGAGAGTCGGAGGACATACTCAAGCCGACTGGATAGAGACGACACCACTGACTATAAGAAGGTATGTACTATAAATGAAACTCTATACTCCAGGTCATAGGATAACAGTTTTCCAGACAGCCACACTGCTGTTTCAGCTCGTTTGATGCCAGACTTCCAAAGAAACATTTTATATCTACTGTAATACATCTAATATTTATTCCCAGGGCTGACAGTTGACGCCTTTTGAATCTTGTACCCAGAAAACAGATTATTAACTCTGATATATGATAGAATCTATTTTGACAAGGGAAAGTTATGACCTGCACCAAATTTTGTTTTTTTGATGTCACTGATTGATATTGTGCAGTGAGTCATGAGTACACCTTAAAAACAAATAATCGAGTTAAATTGATAAATCCTCTTATAATTTGACTGTCAAAAAAGTACAGGCAGTAGAAAGTACCAGGTGATAGAAAAAGGTCTCAGGTCTATGGGGACAGTGCTGAGTGAAGTTTGGGTTTCCTACCTACCTATGTATGGGTTTTTACCAATTTTCACTGAAAAAATTGACACATTTTTGAGGGTGGGGGGAGCAAACTATTCTTTTTATATTCAGAATACCTTGGTGGTTTGTTGGTTACACTTCTTGACTGTTGAATACGTTTGTCCCTTCAGCTCTACGAGCAGATCTTAGCTGAGAACGAGAAGTTGAAGGCCCAGTTACGTGACACAGACCTGGAGCTGGCAGACTTGAAGCTACAACTAGAGAAGGCCACGCAGGTGCGCTGAACTCACACTGCTTCAACTGATCAGTATTGATAAGATAAATGGGATTCCTGATGAGTCTTCTAACTTATTTGTACATTTTTTTCTTTTGTCATTGCAGAGGCAGGAACGCTATGCCGACCGATCACAGCTTGAGTTGGAGAAAAGGGTAATGACAGAACTAGTTTAATAACTCCTTTGTTTAATAACACCATTAACTTTACTAAAAAGATATATAACTTCTGTTTCTCTCAAGTTTACCTCAAACTAAATATCAGTTATTTTGATTAATCTGACCCTCTTTAAGCATGTTGGTAACACTACCAATGGGTTTATGTCTGAAGGTAACAAGCAGACCCCAATATCATCTGGGTGGTGGTATGATCTTAACCTGATTATTTGTATCAGTCTACTGTCTGCTGCTGGCTATTGTGTCACACATGCCCTTGTAGCCGAGGTCAAAGGGACTTCCTCCCGCCTCGCCACCCAGAACACTGCCAACTTCTCTCTCACCTATTTTTGAACCTCAGAGGCAGCGTGTGGTCACCTCTTTTCAAGACTGCTTATTTTGTTATTTTTGTGTGTGTTTTATGTGAGTCTGAGAAAGTGTTTATCTCTATTTATGCAAGAAGTAGAACAATTGTTGTAAAAATTTCTGTCGAAAGAACCTATGCATGCATTTTAAGTAATAATGCAGGCAGCTGTGTAGCCGTGAAACCATAACCCCCGCAGTTGTAGAATTCATGCATCATTTAAGACCATCCCCCATGTGCCATTTGTCTTCACAACCTTTTATAATACAAGAATGTCCCTTTTTTTTCTTCTTCCAAAAAAAAACAACATTCTCAGCCCCCAGTTCATGAGTCATTCCATGAACTTACCATCCAACACAACCTCTAAACATCTCCATCCCCATTTTTTGACTCATTCCTGCCTTTGGATATCCTCATATGTAAATTATGTATACATCACTGAATATGTAAGTCTGAACTGGCTGTTGCTTGCAGACGCCTCACAAGACATGCGTGTGTTCAAGTGTGTGTGCTATCGCTGCACCTTCACCTTCTTCCACACCTGATTTTATGCGTGTGTGTGTGGAGCCTGCACTGTGTGCCAAGTGTGTCTTCTGCTAATTGTCTGTCTGAAATGTGTGAGTCCTGAGTTAACCTGCCCCCCCCCCCCCCTCCACCCCAGGAAAGAAGAGCTCTAGAAAGGAAGATTTCTGAGATGGAGGAGGAACTTAAGGTACCACCACACACAGTCACACACATGGCACATTATATTTTCTGTTCGTGTACAGCAGGGTTTAGATTTGATGAAGTCAAGATCACAGCTACTGTGTAGGTGATACTTGTGAATTCCAGCATAGTGCTTTCTATAGAAATCTGGGTCACTTTTTTGGGTTTAATAGGAGTGAGTCATCTCAAATGCCATGATGCTTAGAAGATAATATGGGTTTATTACAGCTTGGATCTTATTGTCATGATTTTGCCTTTACTCCTCTAAGTTATGATACTGTACTGTACAAGGTAATTTCTAGGAGCTGGGAACACAACCATTAATGCAAAGACAAATATGATATGGTTGATAAAGAAAATACCCCTTCCACAGTCACCAAATACATAATTTGGTGTTGCCAAATATAGATTTGAACCAAAAACTACACTATTCGCCCAAATATAAGATGACACCCCGCCCCCGTTCACACTAGCCCTGTTGTAGTAACAACAAGTAGGTGATACTACGGAGTACCCATCTGCCTTTTCTCTTGTAAAATTAACTTGAAAAACTTACATTAAAGCAGAACGTGCATAAATCCTACATTTGGGTAGCTAGTCTATCGGTCTCATACACACATGCACTATCTTGTCAGGCTGTTGAATCAGTTATAATGATTTTCCTCTGACAATTTTTTTTATTTATTTATTTATTTTTTTTTTTTTTTTGTCTGTTTCTGCAGTAAAGATCATTGGAGACACTTGACTATTTTTGTCTTGTCAAAAATGTATTTCACAAGTTAAACTTGCCTAACTAAACACTTCTAAGGCTGTCAAACTCTTAAAATATTATAAATTGACTGACAGTTTTTCACAATTGCTAAGACATGTTTCTTGAAACCTTCACCCATATTCAACTTTAAACACAAAACCCAGTCTTTAAACTACATTCACACAGCCCCTGACTCTTTTGGCAAAATCAAACAGTTGCCTCAAAACCATGTGATCACAATAAAACAATGTTTTCAAAACATAAACACAGCCAGTCAATAGGTAAAACACTACAGAGCATTCTTTAGACAGCAAGAAATTGAGAACACACCGTCCAGGGCATGTAGTTACAGAAAAAATGTTTTTTGCGTAGAGGAAACACATTTTCCAATTTAAAAAGTATAGTAATCACAACTTAGTACAGTAAATATATAGTATACTGTAAATACTACAAGTAATACAGTATTGAATGTCTGTATATTCAAATACAGTACGCCCAAAGAACAAAGAAAACTATAAATGAAAAGCACATTACACTCTTTTGCAGTTGCACAACATTTTTGAGTCCATATAGTAAGAGACTTCATCCACATCACATGCAACTTTGTCCCTTGCCAAGCAAAGGAGGAAAACCCTTGGAAGTACTGGATGCAGCCTGACTGTAACAACACTCCACACATGTCTCACCACAGGCCAATTCCATTGCCCGTAAGAGATTTTCTGTAGTAAATGAGTTTCGGTCATAGACCTTCCATCAGGTAGAGAAAAATTCTTCTATTGGATTGAAGTAAGGGCTGTGGGTTGAAGGTAAACATTTGTGAATCACTGGTTGATGTTGAGCCACTTGCTTAGCACAACACCACAGTAAAAGTTGATATTGTCCCATAGGCAGGATGTACTGCTGGCTGATGACCCTGCTGCTCACACTCAAACACAAAATTCCAAAGACCACCCAGAAAAATAAGGAGATGTTCAAGGTTGAATGACTGTCCCTTACTTATAGCTTGGTCAAAGTGTGACATTGCCGCTATGCAGGCCAGGAACTTGATCACATTATTAGAAACAATTAGAATTATGAGTTGTTGTGTCTAAAAGATGACAGCTGTGTTGTAGTTGTGTTTAACATTTGCCGCATGTATTTACCATTTTGCAAAACACGTGCATCACAGTGCAAAATGTGTTTTAGTGAGTGAGAATGTGTTTAGAGTTTTGCAAAAAGAATGGATGGGATTTGCAAACAGTGTCTTAACTACCTGAACCTGTTAAGGTTTTGCCAAGAGAGTGACTAATTTGACAAATGGGTTTAGGCCACTGAGCATTTGGTTCAGAGAATGGGGTTTAGTGTTTTAGCAATTGTGAAAAACTGTTAGCAACTTATTAGACTAACAACATTAAAGCAACAAATAAGCGTTGATGGGTCTTCAAAAACAGTGTCTATCTAAAGTTCAGTATATAAATATCTATTCCTTGAATGTAACACAACCTCTACTCTTGCACATGGAATATCCAACAATAAACCTCTGTTCACATGTTAGATTCCTTGTGTAATATGTACAAGTGCATCTCTTCTGTTCGGGGCACCACAAGTCAGCTGTCGCGATCTCATAACATATATAACTTTTATTGAAACGACCAATTGAATGTTAGTTTTCTTGAGAACTGATTGAAGTAGGAGAGAGAGGGGAAAAAAACTCTAAAATTCTAGAGAGTAAGTGTTGTTCTCATCACTGCGATAACAAAAGTGTGTTTATTTTTAGGTCATAGACAGCTGATCTTATCAGTGTCACTTTTCCATTCTATCTACAAGCATCATGCTGAACCGGAAAGCTCCTAATCATTCCTTCAGTTTCCAAAATCTGTCCCCATTTTCTAACAATCTTCCTTTTCTGTTTTCCCTCCTTCTTTCTCTCGACCCCTCTTCTCTATTAATTTATACTCTCCTATCTTTCATCAATCCTTACTCTCCTAATTTGTTTCTTGAAACACATTCCTCCTTTCCCTCTCTTGCCGATCTTTCACTCTCTCCTTCCATCTCTGCCTCCTCCTTCCCTCTCTCTCTCTCTTTGCTCTCCTGTGTTGTGGTTGTTGTTTTCCCCCCCTGCAGAACCTCCCCCAGGTAAAGCAGGTTCAGGCCCTGCGGCAGGTTAAAGAGCGGCTGCAGGCTGAGAACCGGGCCCTGGCCCGCGTGTTGGCAAAGCTCTCGCAGTCTGCCTGCAGCCAGCTGCCCACCGTCGACCTCTAAGCCAAGTCCGTCTGTCCACCACCATCTCCTCCTCTTCTTGTTCTTCTTCACCTTCCCCCTTTCTCCCAACCCCATTCTTCTCATGCTCCATTCGTGCTCTGCCCGCACCCATAGACAGGCAGGTGCCCAGCCGCCCAACCATCACTGGTTTTGTAAACTCCCCTTTCCACCCTACTCTGCCTCCCCAGACCTTTTGGTTTTCAGATTGGGGAGGGTGTCTTTTTAGTCTTTACAACAGGACACTCTCCTTTTACAGTACTGATTAGTTCCATACCTTTCAGCTTGTGAAAACATCCTAAATATGTCAAAATAACACATTTTGAATTGGTGGAGACAAAGCTCTTAGGTGGGTTTGATTTAATACTATGTCTAAATTTACTCCAAAGCTGAATTATTAAGTACTGTAAAGGAGAGTATCCTCTTTGTAGTGTCTAGTCGATGCTTCCATCAGAGGGAGCTCGGTAGTTCAGTTTGGCTTGTTCTGGCTTCTCTGCATGAAATGGCTTCGATGTTTTGGCATCAGATTTTTTTGGCCCAAATCTTCAGAGACTGAACCCCTTTTCTTTTTTTTTTTTGTTTCCCCCTCTTTACTCCCCAAATTTTTATTTGACAGATGGCATCAATCAATATTAAAGTCAGCTGCATGCACCAGAAGGTTTATTTGTACACAGGTTTAGCATTGTGCCTGAACAACATCAAATATGTTTAAACTAGCAGTTGATTTGTCATCTGTAATCAGCAAGTGATCATTTATTTTTTTTAAGGGGACTGAAATCTCTTGTTGGAGTGTCAGTGCTGTGTATCAACTATGAAAACTGTAGAACACGATTTATCCTCACCACCACAGCTTCTGTCCATTTTTAAAGATTTAAACCTCACCAGGTTACATAGGTTATTGGTAGAATTAAAGACACACCTCTATACTGTTAGGAGAATTTTTAATAGCCATTATGCTTTTATTGGAGATATTCAAGTTTACAGTTTTGTTGAGCATTGTACAGCAATTCAGCAAATGTTAAACGGAAATTCAAGTTCACCAAATCATGTTACAATTGATGACTTAACACTGCAATCAGATCAATAAAATAATTCACCCATTATGGCTCACTATAAACATCCAAAAAGAGAGTATTGTGTATGTTGTCTGCCTGTCAGACGTAATGAAGATTTACTTTTGATACTATGGAACCCGGCAGATGTCATGAATTACTTAAGTCATGCTCTTATGATCATTATTATTTGATCATTAATGTGCACAAATTAACAGAACATTAAATGATCATGTTGACATTTAAAAACATGCTAATTTCTCCTCCGAGTAATTAGTATAGTTTAACTTTAACATATGTTTAAGGGATTCCTAATGTTTTTAAAAAGCTAAAACTGAATTATATCCTAATTTCTCAGTCCAAATTCAAAAGAAAACTGCATTAAAGTTGCAGTAGGGAATTCTTTTAAAAATAACTTTTTGTCATATTTGCTAAACCTGTCCCTAGATCCTGACAGTAGTACATGAAACCCATAATCTGTTCCTAACCTGATTTCACAATTACCGGTTTCATGCATTACTGTCAGGATATAGTGCCAGTTAAAGCAAATATGCAAATACAAAGTTATTTTAAAATGATTTGCCTGCTGCTGCTTTAATTGCAAGGGGCTCATTTACTTTAGCTTATCCGTGGCACAGCTTTTAATTTCTAGTTTGCACTGAGTTGGGCTACACAGTTGTGTATAATATGTGCACCTAACTAATAGCATCCAAAGCTGACCAGTAGTAGTATCCACTGTAGTATCACAACTGTGTAATGGAGCTAATGTAATAAATGCTAACCTAATTGTATTTATATGATGGAATGTATTAAGAATTTGTAGGAACCTGAAAGCCATAACACAGCTGCTAGCCTATTGATAAAACTGAGTAGCCATTACAACCAGTTTTTTCCCAAGTGCATAATTTCCTTATTTGTACATAAAATCGAGATGAGTTACTTCTGACATCTGCCGGGCCCTGTAGGATATAATACAATGATCAAGATTTCACTTTTTTTTTTTTTTTTTTTTTTTTGCACTAGATCAAATAAAAAAGTGGCTTTTTCCTCTGCTGTGTATTTTTGTGGCTGCCAGTGAGCAGCCGTTCAGATTATGCATGGCTTTTTCAGGATCTTTGGCCTTGTGGTGTGCCCGCTTTTACTTCTCTCTTTCTCCTGACAATGGAACAAGGACTTTTTTTTATTTTTTTAAGGAGAAAGTAAAACATGAGAGATGCTGTGTGACTCCAAAGATTGCTTACACAGACTGCAATTAACAGTTTGTAAAACTGGCCTGACTGTGTATCTGTCGAGACTTGTCTAAGCCTTCTCTCTTTGTGTCTCTTCCTCCCTTCCCTCTTTCCTTTTTATTCCCTTTCAGATGCTCCCAGACTTGAAAGCAGACAACCAGAGACTAAAGGACGAGAACGGAGCACTCATTCGAGTCATTAGCAAGCTTTCCAAGTAGAACAGACCCTCCCCGCCCCGTCTTCTGCACCCCCTAGTCCCCCATGGCAGTGACTAATGGAATTGCACATTTAGATATTAATTGCAACAGACATCAGAGACAAGACTCCTTCTTTCTTTTTTTTCCTCCCCAACTCTGTCTCCCTTTTGCTCCTCCACCACTGCAGCATCTATCCATCCATCCATCCATCTGCCCCCTTGTGCCACCTCCTCGACTATAATCCACCCGATTGTGTGGCTGCTGTCCTGATAGAACCGCTGAGTTTACAGAGCAAAAGGAAAAAGGGTTGTGTGATCAGCATGTAAAAGCATTGTGGGCGGGGAAGCCTGAAAACTATTTAACCAATAAGCCTTAGTTGTACATAAAGAGAAAAAGGAAAAAAAACACTTGCATCGATCTCTTCTCTTCTCTCTGTCACTCTCTCTCGGCTATCACTGAAGAACAGATATTATCCAACACCTGATTTTATTTGTGCCACAATCTCTGATGTAATTTTCTTTTTGTTTCCTCTCCCTGTGTAAGTGTTGTGTGCTGTGCAGTTTCTTCCTCCCTTGCTCTTAAATCCTTCAAAGTGCCACTTCTGCCCCATATCAGCTCCTTGTGGCCTCCCCTAATTTTTCCTGGTGTTTTTTTTTTTTTTTTTTTTTTTTTCTCCCCCTCCCAACCTAACCCTAACCCCCCCCCCCACACACACACACACACACACACAAACACACAGATCACCAAAACGCGCACACACACACACACCCGCCCTCTCCCGTTTTTGTACCTCTGTGTGTCTTCCTCCAAGAGGGAAAATTTTGAATTCTCGCTTTAGCAAAACGAGGCGGACCTGGTGGAATTTAAGCTTTCACTGTATGTGCAATATGCATTTCTTTTTTTTTTTTTTTTTTTTTTGATGCTTTAATGATGAGTCCATCACAAGTAGGATTTTTCACTCTTCCACCGCTTCCATCGCTCACCTTCCTCCTTTTTTTTTTTTTTTTTTTTTTTTTAAGTTTGTAGTGTAGTCAGTTTATACTCTGTATTTCTCACTTTGTTTTAGCAGGTACTGAGTGATGCTGTATATACCTGTATGTATTTGTTTGAGACCAGCACATGGCATGCATTTACGGTTCCCGTCTGTTACTATTAAAAAGTATACAAATTCCAGAGGACAAAAAGGTGTGTTTTAATTATTTTTTCTTTTATAGTCTAAAGACATTGGATACAGTACATTTAGAGCCTCTCTCTCTTACGCGGGACGGCTGGCAGTGTTCAGTGCTTCCTTTTTTTTTCCAGTTTAAAATAAGTGTTCACATAATTGTGAGATAAAAAAATAAAAATAAATATCGCTTCACTACATTTCACTTTCATTGTATTCAGTATCTTGGAAGAGTGCTGTTAATTTTGTTTCCAGTTTTTTAAAGCTGTAGTATTATAGCCAAGGTGTTGTCACTAAAAACAAAAGAATATCTTAGGTATTGCTAACCCAGTCCTTTTTACAATGTCTACATGCACTGTCAATGCCATGTGAAGAGTCTTGATGTCAGGTTAAAGCAAATCGCCACCATCAAATATTTCATGCATCTGAAAACATTTTATGCATTTCAGTGGCCTTTTAAGGATATTTTAGTAAAAGAAGTTTTAAAAAAAAGTCACTGCAGATGGACTGATGACCATCTACTCTGGTTAAGACTTTTGTTGTTTTTTTTCTTTATTTTTTTTCCCGTCATCTTGTAAAATAGGTGTGTGGCTTAATACATGCAAGCTGTGCTGTGACTACCAACCACTGAAGAGTTCATTAAAAATAAACTTGTACATTGTAAAGTTCCCATGTCTGATTATTTTCATCATTTTTAATTATTTAAATGGCTATTTAAATTTGATTAATATAAATGTTCTTAAAGTGACAGAGTTAACTTTTTTGAAGAAGAAAACCAGTTTCTGTCACTTTTTAGTTTTTGGGCAATTTTAGAATATTTATTTTAGTCTCACTATGTTATTGTTTTAGAGTGTTCTTCAGTTGTCTTAGGAGCCATTTAGGCTGTTAAAATTATGACATCTTTTGAAGGATTTTATCATCACACTTCTCTTTGCATCTGTCATATGGTGTTTGTTAACTCATTGTTTTTGCAGCATTTCTTGACCAGGAGACTTGAAAAGAGATGGTTAATCTCACTGATTCTTTCCTGGTTAGATAAATGTTGAATAAAATAAGAAATTTTTAAAAACTCGCCCTTTGATGGACTGGCGACCTGTCCAGGGTGTACCTCGCCTTTCGCCCTATGTCAGCTGGGATAGGCTCCAGCGGTTGACGGATGGATGGATTTAAAAAAACTCACATTTCTACCTCCCCCCCCATAAAACAATAGATTACATTTTCTGCAGTTCTCACACTGCATTGCAAAATTGCATTTAAATGAACAGCAATATCTCTATAGAAACAACATCCCTGTTCCTCTGGATAATCTAACCTCCGTGAAATGTTTTATAGGGACTATTTCTTTGGTAGAAAGTATTTCTCATTAAGGTTCTTTACAGTCATGTTTTCAGATTATTTAGAGTAACCAGGACACTGATTATGGGAAGACACGTTGATGCTGACTGAATTTTCAGTGTTTAAGCACCACAAACATAATTGCATTCATCTCCATTGTATCGGTACTAAGGTAGACATTTTTGAAGCAGATATCTTAAGAGTTTGAGCACATAAAATCTAATCTTTTGTACTTTGGGGGATGCGCCCCTTTAGGGTTGTTGTAAGCATGAAACCAGACATGTATACATGTGAAACGATGTTGATTTCATCTTGTACTTTAAATGTTTCTGCTCAATCACTTAACTGGGAGTAGAGGGCTATTTCACCGCTGCTACACTCCTATCATACCAGTAGATGGTGCACATCATTGCAGACTCAGGTGCACTTAACATTTTGCAATAGTGGAGGGTTTTTTTTCTTTAACTAGTGAGTATACAGTTTTTATCAGGGCAATGTCAGCCTTTTTGTTTAATTTAACTCATCCTCATACTGGATATTGAAGCACTTAACTCACACCCACATAAATGAGCCATGCAGAGAAAGGAGTCATCAGTCCTATTCAGCTTCTTCAGCCCCACGTTAAAATGTTAAATGTCTTGACATGGAGATCCTCAGTCAACAGACCGTCTCAACCATTCTCCTTCTCCAGTGACAGAAGTAACTTTCTTGTGACGGCATGTTTGCGGCTCTACATCAACAGCAAAATGCTGACTGCTGTCCCTGTCTTCCCTGAGCCTAAAATCCCTACAGATGTAGTCATCCTCCACTTCACTGTTCTTTATCCCAGATGGCAGCGGATTTGAAACAAATAAAGAGCAACCCAGAGTTAAAGTGTACACGCAACCATAATGCTCCAGATAATAAGTAAGATTTCTCTTTTTGTGATTTATGTGACCGTAACTGTGGAACTGACTCTACTGTAAGCTCTAGTTTTTGCATGTATCGTCAGTAATAGCTCTCTGGGTGTGACTTGCTGTTCAGACCTGTGATAAAGGGCTCCAACCTTCAGATTAAGCTTCGGGGATATGCGCTGCAATAATTGCCCCGAGTCATGCAAAAGCATCTGGCTTTTTCTATTTTCCATTGCCTCAGCGTTTGGTTAAGAAGTGTGGTTTGTGTCTGTACTGCAACATGGCTGGCCGTGCTTCCTCCATCTCGAGCAGAATGTCTTCATCAGGACCTCGACAGATGAAAAACGATCTTCTAGACAGATTCCTGGCATTAAAAAGTCACTCTGTGTAATTATGGTAACAAATGGTTTGAATTTAATGCTGCCTTTTTTGTATCAGTTGCCTTTTGCAATGGCAGAGAGGACATCATGAGGCTATTAGTTTCTGTCATTTCAGCGAGCCATACATACGCTGAACAAAATTATAAACGCAACACTTCTTCTTTTTTTTCTTTTTTTTTTTGCCCCCATTCATCATGTGCTGAACTCAAAGATCTAAGACTTTCTCTATGTACACAAAAGGTCTATTTCTCTCAAATTGTTTAAATCTGTCAAAATATGTGTTAGTGAGCACTTCTCCTTTGCCGAGATAATCCATCCACTTCACAGGTGTGGCATATCAATATGCTGATCAGACAACATGACTTGGCCACAATAAAAGGCCACTCGAAAATGTGCAGTTCCATCACACAGCACAATGCCACAGATTGTCGCAAATTTTGAGGGAGTGTGCAAGTGGCATGCGGACTGCAGGAATGTCCACCAGAGCTGTTGCCTGTGAATTGAATGTTCATTTCTCTACCATAAGCCTTCTCCAAAGGCGTTTCAGAGAATTTGGAAGTACACCCAGCTGGCCTCACAACCGCAGACCACGTGTAACCACACTAGCCCAGGACCTCCGCATCCAGCATCTGCACCTCCAAGATCGTCTGAGACCAGCCACAAACTGTCAGGGTGTGGGTGGGTTTTTGAGTGGCGTTTTATTGTGACCAGCCGAAGGCACATTGTGCAATACCCATGCTGTCTGATCAGCATCTTAATATGCCACACCTGTGAAGTGGATGGATTATCTCGGCAAAGGAGAAGTGCTCACTAACACAGATTTTGACAGATTTGTGAACAATATTTGAGAGAAATAGGCCTTTTGTGTTCATAGAAAAAGTCTTAGATCTTTGAGTTCAGCTCATGATGAATGGGGGCAAAAACAAAAGTGTTGCGTTTATAATTTTATTCAGTGTATATATATATATGTGTGCATTCTGATGTTTAACCTGCATCTGTTGGTGATGAGAAACGTCGCTCAGCAGGCTTTCATCTACACGTCAGCTCATTCACTTGCAGGGACTTTGAACCAGTTTAATATATTGTGGGTTCACTGATCTGAGGAGTCTTAAGACTAAACTCAATAACTTGCAGGATTCTTCATGCATGTCATCCCTACAGCTGGAAATTAATCCTGCTAAGTATTTTTTTTTAACAAGATTAAGTCTGCAGCCATGCTAGATGCTCTGTGACGCTGTACTTAGACACGCTGGTGTTTTGAGTTAAGGCAAACATCAGCATGCTAACATGTTAAACAGATATATACTATGTTCACTGCTTCTTCATGGACCAAGCAAGGCCAGGTTTCAAACCTCAACCCCATCCAACACATATAGGATGAACTGGAACCTTGACAGTGAGCCAGACCTTATCACCCAAAATCAGCACCCACCTCTTTTAATGCTCCTGTGACTGAATGGGAGCAAATGCCTGCGGCCAGTTTCCAAAATCTGGTGGTAAGCCTCTAACCAGAAGACTGTTGGTTGTCATAGCAGCAGATTAATACCCATGGTTTTGGAACGAGATGTTCAAAGATGTCCACATACCCTTAGCCATGACAGTTTGAGAAAGGGGTCAACAGAAATGAAAAGTACACATGTTTTGTAGTAAATTGGAATTAAACATGACCCTTTAAGTGCTATAGTCAGAACCTGTTAGGCACTAGAAATGTGACCAGTAATAAGTCTCAGCAGGAGCTTTAGAGGCCTAAAAAAAAGGCTGATGATTGCTGGCTGGTCTCTGATTTCTGACAGCAGCAGCTCCACCGTGAGATGACGTGCTGTGCTTTTCTACGCTGGGGATCATCCATAAAGAAGGAATTAGATCTTGGCAACCGCTGTCACACACAGAGTCGCTCACACTCCTCTGCTACTCGTTTTTATTTTTCCGCCATGGCCTAATCTCCCTCTCTCTCCTCTCTTACCATAAAGTGCAGCAAGCAAAACAAACCCCCTCCCCAGTTGCAATTTTAAAACCCCAACACACACCAGACTTAGACACACTGGTTGAGCAAAACCCACCAGTGTGGAAACAAACAGCAGTGGGGTTTCTCTCTCCAAAGACAAACAATGACAAATCGAGGCGTCCCGATGAAGTGACAGCTGGAGTCTGTCACTGAAACATAGACAAACACACTCGGTTGAAAAGCGGCGGCGAGGATATAGAGACGTCTCTTCATCTTTGACTCTGGTGTCACCACCTGCATTCGTAGGACGCTTAAATATCTTGCACTGTAATGTATCACGGGAACATTCAAGAGGTCATCCAATGAGAGGACAGATAACTGCAGTGCTAAGTGATAAATTAATTAATCAAATAGGTGATTGCAGAGAATTTATTAACATTTATAACCAGTTAAGTTGTTTATTAAGGTGAATCTTGTTCCAGCTTCCCAAATTTGGTGCTTTTCTTTATTTTATGTAAGTGAAATTTTTATTTATTTTGGTTTTGGACTGTTGGTGGAACAAAACAAGCAACTGGAAGGAGTTACCATGGGTTCTGGGAATTTACAGCAGGCCCTATTCATTTGTTTTGGACAATTTCTAGATTAAATAATTGATCAAATACCCAATAATGAAAATAATAATTAACTGCAGTCCTAGATACCTGACTAAAATATTGCTTGCAGCCGATAAAGAGCCATAAGGAGAAGTTGGTGACTCCTCTAGCAATTGTAATAGAAATTGTATACAAATGTCTGATTTGTTCTTTGTAGTGCTGCAGAGCTGGGAAGAGGACACAAACCTCATGCACCAAATTGAACTTGAGCGTGCACTTCAGTATGTCATTATGATGATAATAATGAAGTTACGTCCATGATCTAAATGTAAACAACTGTCGCCACCACATTTACCGACAGGTCTTTCAATGCAGGGACTAACACTTGAGAACAACAACATCTCTCAAAGGTTTGTTTACATCAGTATTCTAATTATAGAGGAAAGTAAGTCTATATTCTCAATTGTGATTAGCTGAGTAACACAAAAATGTCAAATTCTACAATTGTATTGGGCCTTTAAT